TAAATAATTTAACCTCCACGCGCCTTAAAGGGAGAGTATATATAGGACTCGTTTTTAATCTTTGTACCCAACTTCCACTTGACATTTTGTGTTGATTTTTTTTCAAAAAATGATACGTTTTCTTTATTTCGTATAATTTCTCATAAACAAATTGACCAATTATTTTTTTTGCTTCTCTTCCGTAAATCTTATCTCAGGCTTTCAAATATAAGACTTCTATCTCAAAATTTCTTTTATATTTATCCGATTGGAGCCAAAGAAAAACTGCGACGAACCCCTAGTTTTCTTTGGGATCTTATGTAAGGATAACCACTTACACACATAATTTTTTTTGTCGGCTTTTGTGCAAATGTATTAAATATTAATGTACTTAAAAAAGAACATATTATTCATAATAATAAAGTACTTATTATATTAGTGATATAATAAAGGGGACTGTTTCTCCGCTAAATTCTCGGTGTAATGTCTTTGCTTTTACTTTCCTCGTTCAAGGAGAGGACCAAAAATTTATTGCAGAGTCGCACATGAATCTCAAGCTTCTCTCTCCTTTTTTTTTCCAGAGCACATCAGAATCGCTAAATACGACTCGTATGCAATAAGAAGCTGCTTCTTTCTCTTGCCCTAATTAAGCTACCTAACTAGGGTTTCCTCTTACCTTTCATGAGAGAGATCATTTAACATAAGTCACCTTTTTTTATCTTTTGCTTCGTCTTTAATTTAGTTCTGTTCTTGGTCTGTTTCTATATTTTGTCGGCTTGTGTAACCGATCACACCTTAATGCTTTAGCTATTGGTTCCTCAAAATCCTGAGTTTTGACTTCTCGATCTGAGTTTCCTTTTTCTCTCTTCACGCTCTTCTTCACCTAGCTCCCAATATATGAGCGAGAAGGATCAAGATATCAAGAAATTGATTTGAGCTGGCGAATAAGCAGTGGTGGGACAGGGAATTAGTAGATGCGGCGGCGATGGAAGGCGGTTACGAGCAAGGCGGTGGAGCTTCTAGATACTTCCATAACCTCTTTAGACCGGAGATTCACCACCAACAGCTTCAACCGCAGGGTGGGATCAATCTTATCGACCAGCATCATCATCAGCACCAGCAACATCATCAACAACAACAACAACAACAAAAGTCTGATGATTCGAGAGAATCTGATCACTCAAACAAAGATCATCATCAACAGGGTCGACCCGATTCAGACCCGAATACATCAAGTTCAGCACCCGGAAAACGTCCACGTGGACGTCCACCAGGATCTAAGAACAAAGCCAAGCCACCGATCATAGTAACCCGCGATAGCCCCAACGCGCTTAGATCTCACGTCCTTGAGGTATCACCTGGAGCTGATATAGTTGAGAGTGTTTCCACTTACGCAAGGAGGAGAGGGAGAGGCGTCTCCGTTTTAGGAGGAAACGGCACCGTATCTAACGTCACTCTCCGTCAGCCAGTCAATCCCGGAAATGGCGGTGGTGTGTCCGGAGGAGGAGGAGTTGTGACTTTACATGGAAGGTTTGAGATTCTTTCACTAACCGGGACTGTTTTGCCACCTCCTGCACCTCCTGGTGCCGGTGGTTTGTCTATATTTCTAGCTGGAGGACAAGGTCAGGTGGTCGGAGGAAGTGTGGTGGCTCCCCTTATTGCATCAGCTCCGGTTATACTAATGGCTGCTTCGTTCTCAAATGCGGTTTTCGAGAGACTACCGATTGAGGAGGAGGAGGAAGAGGGTGGTGGTGGTGGTGGAGGAGGAGGAGGAGGGCCACCGCAGATGCAGCAAGCTCCATCAGCATCTCCGCCGTCTGGAGTGACCGGTCAGGGACAGTTAGGAGGTAATGTGGGTGGTTATGGGTTTTCTGGTGATCCTCATTTGCTTGGATGGGGAGCTGGAACACCTTCAAGACCACCTTTTTAATTGAATTTTAATGTCCGGAAATTTATGTGTTTTTATCATCTTGTGGAGTCGTCTTTCTTTTGGGATCTTTGGTGTTTAAATTTAGTTGATATGCATATGATTTCTCGTGTTTTTTCTTTTTCTTCTTCTCATTTTTGCATAGATGTTAGAGAAATGCATAATTTGTCTCTCGTGCTGCTAGAAAAAACTTTACATGTATGCGTTTCTTTTATTCATTGCTAGGGTTTCGTGCGCTGCAGTACCCTGTATTTCTTATGATAATTAGCTCGATTTGATAGATTATAGATAGGTCTATATAATAATGAGTTCGTTATTCTTTTAAAGAAATTTTAAGCTTAACCACGTATTAATTATATTGATGAAATATATATATATATATATATATATATATGTGGGTACATCTCAGAAGTAATTATATGAATCTGATGTTTATATATCAACGCCTAAGACTCATACTGTCATACATATCTGATATCTCATATCTCTCGTAACATTTCCCTTTCAACTTTTTCACAATTCCAGTTAATATATCCAAGGTTAAAAATGAGTATACATATAGATCAAAACGTTTGGGGCATCTAATTAATATATTTGACGCTTATATATAGCATCTTTTTAGCTGCGTATACCGTTTAAGATCACAACTTCAATGTGATATATCTATAAGGTTAATAATTAACTTACATATTGATCAAAAGGTTTCGTGCATCTATATAATTTTGTAGTTAAATCATTTGACTGTTTGGAACGTATTTTTAGCCCTTTGTACCGTTTAAGATCCTATTGAATGTGTTATCTAAACAATTTAAGACATGACCGTCTAAGCGATCTCTTTCACCTAGTAATATTTAGAAATATTACATGCATGTATGCTTGGAGTGGCCATGTGCCCATGTCAATGTTTTTCATTCGACCAGTAGAGTTATTTTCATGCATAAAATATATATGCATGCTTCTATGCGACCAGTTCGATCCTTTCCAAGAGAGTTGTAAATCCAACACCATTCAAATAGTTGGCAACAAGTAGCTTTAAACCGATATTTGTAGGTCACATATATACTGTTCATGTTACAATCCTTTTTTTGGTTTGAGATTTTAAACCCCTTAATTTTGGCTGTTATGGAGAATCTGTATCTCAACTCTCAACCAACAGTTCAAATAGTATTTTCGTGTTCCTCCACTACAAAATACTATGATTTTTCTATATTTAATGATAAAAAGAGCAAGAAAATGATATTGGGGACAAGGCATGAAATTAAAAGTGCAAATAATTGTTTAATTAGAGAGATAAAAATATGGCAATGAAGCATTCAATTCAATCTATATTCTGCTAAAATCTAATCACTTTCCTTAAATAGAATGGTATAATCGTCATCTAACATCCCGCTAAAAAATAAACAAATTCATTCATAGAAAAATATGCTTTTGCTATTATGCAAAAAAAAAAAGAGAGGGATTATTCTTTTATTTAATATGTCCTCATACATCTTCATTCCATCTATTAATTAGATCTTTAACCATTTTTAGAGCATACTAGTATTGTTTTGGGGATTTTAGTCAAGGTATATTGGTTAAAGATAACCGTTACAAAGCACAGTAGAAACATGAAGTAAATTAATGTTATCTCACGTACGTCGGTTACATACAAATTAGTGAACTTATAACATGGGAAGATTAACAATGAACAAAAATCATTTGTAGTGTCAGTTAAGAGCTAGTCTCTGCCGCAACATAACAAAAATGGGGTTTTGATTACCAAGATATGTGAAAAAGAGGAATGTTCCAATTCCCTAGGGACTAATTTATTGACTAGGAACAAAAAGAAGCTTAAGCAAGCAGTATTATTTTTTTTTTTAAAAGAAAGTTTAAGGGTCTGATTGGTTTAATTTTAGAAGAAACAGAAAGAATTGAAAAGAAAAAAAATAAAGTAGAGGAAAAGCTACTATTAGAGGAAACGAGATGAAAATTTTCTAACTTCTAATTTTGAGTTGAATGATTTTTCTACTTTTTTAAGGAATACAGAAGAATTACTTTTATTCCTCTTTTTTCTTGACTGGTTATTTTATATTACACTTTGAGAAGAATTTGTTTTCTTCTAATTCCTTTTCTACTATGTATATCAACCAGTCAGACCCTAAACGTTATTTAAATAATGATAGAAACATACTAAAACAGTAAAAATAATTAAATTAACTGCTTTTAGATAACCAATACATAAGTTAAAGTCCAAAAGATAGTTGGGTTTGTGGAGCTACTAAAATTTGATGAATATGTTATGTGAATGATTATTGTTAATTGAATTAGTCTGTTGTAAGATGAGAGCGAATGTTCAATCAAAGATCTCTTTTTTGGCAACTAAATATTATGGAACAAATTGCAGATTAATCCCATAATATACAATTAGTTAAAATTTTAGTGATTAGATGTCTTTGAGTAAAAATCGTTTTTATTTGCTTGTACTGTCTATGGCTTTTTTGGGGCTTGGAACATGTAGATAGAAAAAGCAAGCATTGCAGTTGTAGATATTATCAAATTCCCATGCGGTCATGTCATGTGCCTTACATGCAATTGAGCTACACCAAGTTCAGAATAAGAAAAAAAAAAAAACTTTTTTTATCACTGTGAACTTTTTGCATGATTAAAGACAAAAAACAGATAATTAAAATATAAAATGTGTGTGTGATTGTTACCTTCTAATCCACTAAAACAAACTTAATCATGCTATTTTATGTAAAATGAACATTATTTAGACCAAACAAATGTTTTCTGTCATGATCCTGCTGTATATTTCTGATGTCTAAAACTAGAGTGGACTTCAAAATTATGAACCTTTTTTTCTTTTTTTTTTCTTAATCATATGTTCCCGAAGGGACAATCATGAACTTTTAAGATTCAGGGAAATGTCAATAGTTTTTGCTGTAATTGTTTTCCCTTTAATAATAGGATGCACCACCAATATTTGCATACTTTCACTTTTACTTTTTGAAAACAAATCATCTCAGGAGAACTTTATGAAAAACCGAAAAGCATGAGAACATAAAAGTATACTATTAGAACTAACTAGTAGATTGGATAGGCACATCTATTCATCTATATAAAAAAAAACATGTATAAGAAAAGCATATCATTCAATCATCATTGTTGGTTGCATCCTAAATGGATTTAAACTAAGATTTAGAGCAGTTTCTCCTACTAATCTCAAATTTTACAAAAGACAAATCTTACAGTAAGATCAAATGTTTGTTTGCATGTTCCTAACTTCAGTCTTCAGACTCAGATCACAGTTACAAAACTGCTTCAGCCGCCTAACAATTTGGTTCTGAAACATATGATGAATTCCTAGAAGAAACCAAGAACAAATGACCAGCTCACTCTTGACATCCATCACTGCTCAAACGGAACTCGTATGAACAACCGGCCATGCATGCTCATGACCGCAGATGTGTTAAGCGGATCGATTCTTGCTGATAAGTCAACAATCTGGTGAAATCATATCAAAATGACAGGAAGGTTCTCAGTTCGATACACAGGTCTCGCTGTCTCTGTATCAGTTAATGGACATATCTGGAATATAGAAGAAAACTTTTACCTTTTTGAAGGGTGTAATGCCCCAAGGATTGTCAAGCTGCTCTGGCTGGCCTGTTATAACCACCTTTCCCGCAGGATCTGATTGAATTCGAACCTGAGAAAAGACAACTTACGTTCAATAATCGAAACTTAGTATTGATTTTACCAGACAATACTTATTGCCAACAACACTGTGTACTGAGACTATGAAACTAAAGGTCAAAACTTCCAAATATCTATGCTGCTTCAGGTGTATAACGTAAGGAAAAATAGTCTACGGAACTGCTTTGGTAACCTAACAAATTTCTTAGTACTTGCTATGTACTGCCACAGTAATATGCATTCATACAAAATTCAAAGACAAAGACTTATCAAGTAGCTTTTCCGAGACATGGTTACAAAGGACTGCTCACCTCTTTGCGAAGAAGTCCAGGTACCAAGGCAAATATCTCGAAGGAATCCTTCTGTGAATTCAAGAAAAAAAGAAAACAGATTTGGTAAGAATTCCATACTGGAAACAAACATCCAGTTTGCAAGTTTTTGGCGTTTCTTTAGCCGTTGGCAGAAGTTACTCACAGTTTCTTTGACATTGATCTTCACCCAGTCAGCAAGGGGTCCAACATCAACAACCTCAGCAGCCGACCTATCAAGACAAAAAGGAAACCTTAACGTTAATTTATAGTAATATATATGTTCAGGTCAAGAAAATGCTCTGTTTTCATCTCATTACTGCTAAGAGGGATTGAAAGAAGAAACGAAAAATTAATATAACTATCTAGAATTGCAAGCAAGCAGGAGAGGATAAGCATTCCGTAACTGTTTGTCAGCTTCATTTGAAACAAAAAGGTCCATGCTATTTTGTGGTTTGTGTTTTTGTAGCCCTGAAAAAAACGTTTAAAACATAATGTTAAGCAACCCACGTTGACAAAATAGCAAAGCCTTGAGAATTATATTTACCAATGCTTTTGAGTTTCTTATGCTTTGGGGTTGAGTTTAAGCCCTTATCCTGAAACAAAAGGAGAAAATCATCCTGGTGCATGAAAAATTTCTGTATAATGGAATCACAAAGTGTAGTAAGGATTGAAGTGAAACCTTAACAACAGGCGCAGAAACCTCTCCAGATCCAACAAGGCGCTGCGCATGCCAACCTTGCATAGCACGAGCTGCAGAATCTCTTCGTGCCCTGCCTGACCCTGGACCTTGATGGCTACTTGCCTACATCAAAGTCCTTATATCAGGGAAGAAAAAAAATATGGAGAAGGGAAAAAAGAAAGGCACATGAATTTTCTTTAGGTTTTCTGGAACTTATATGGTAATCTACAGGGTTATGCACACGGATTTCTAATGGCTTTTGTATCAGACACAAAAAGGCTACAGCTTTATTCAGTCAGATTGCAGATAGTAGGGTTTAAAAGGTTTAGGTGGTATTATACATTCCAGAAGGTTCTATCTGCATTAGATAAATACTGAAAAATAACTCTTAAGCTATCATTTCTTCAGTGTCAACAACATTTTATCAATACATGAACCCTTCCCACAATAGATTGACAAGTAGATACTTTTCTTTAATTTTCACGGTGCTATATCGATGTTCATCCAAACTTTCCATATTTACAAGTTTTTCCATATATTCAATAGTGTCTAAATTCCAAAAGCCATAAAAGTCACATTTTTAGGGGAAATTCTTACCTCTTTCTCGAGGCTGGAAGACAGAGGCAATGTTGAACCAGGAAGGTTAAGCTCACCATTTTTCCTTAAACACTTTTCGTACTCCAAAAGTGCCTGCAATTGAAGCAAAGATATAGATCATAATGCACCTTATTGAGATATACGGGGTCTATTGTACAATTAGGAAATAACTTATGTATAGTTTGGTTATTTCCCTAATGTATCTAGGTTTAATATTGATTCATTGTATGTATATAAGGCTAAGCCTCCACCACGTTAATGATAAGAAATCTTTATACAGAAACAAGGTTTTTGACACCTATATCTATATGATAAGATAGAAAGAAAATAATCAGTGCATTCAAAGTGCCAAAAGAATAGTCCAGAATAAAGTGCCATACCTCGGCAAGACAAAGAATCAAACTAACTATTATAACATACCATACCAAGAAGAAGCACAAGGAGAACTGTCTGAAGTGGATAAGTAAGAATGAAGACAGGATAAATATATGATACTTATGCACAAAAACAAACTCACCTTCTCGTAGAAATTGCGGAATGTGTAGGAGACTGTTGTGCATGTCCTGAATAAAGATAGTTTAACCAAATGTGGAAAAAGATTAGCATTATGAAAAACTGGCAAAGTCTAACAGAGAGTCTAAGGGAAACATCAGCCATACTTGGGAGGATGGAAGGATTCTCCAACTTGCCGCCACAGCTTATTTGTGGTGACCTACATTACCATGAAAAAAACAAAGGAATCTTAAAGACCATAAGACATTCAATTTCAGCAGAAGATTAAGAAAACATTGAATATATACTCCCAAATATAGCTAACAACAGTAAAATAAATCAGTTTCCCAACAACCAAACATTCTTTAACACACCTGCTTAATTATTCACTAAAAAGTCATAAATCTTCCCTGAAAGCCACATGGTTATAGATACCCTTATCATCAATTAGCTTACCGATTCAATAGTTATACCTTATACAGTTCACATGTCATCCACAATTCAAACAATAAAAATGTAGGTGATACTCATACAAGCCAACTTAAATAACCAAGACGTATAAACTGCGAACTAAAAATGATATGGTTTTGGATAATTACCACTTCATATCCACCTAGATTAACGACTGCTCGCCATAGCCTACATTGCATGCAAAAGTCAGGCACTGAATAACCAGATTATATGGTTTATTTAAGAACAAAAGCAACACTTTTTCAACAACTCACTTGAGAATGTTTAAAGGCTGTCCATAAAACTTAGGAGGTTTAAATTCCAGGAAATTCTCCTTGTAAAAGGCCTCCACTTCTCTTAGAAACGCCACTTGTTCTACTGGTGTCCCTGCCTCATCAATTCCCTGTGCCTGTAAAGAAAGGTGAACTAGTAAGTGACCAATCACCACAATAATTTTTACCACAAAACAGTGATATTCAATCATGAGAATACAAAAAAAACACAGGCTTTTCAAGCCAAATCTAAAGAAACACAGTCTATTAACCTCAGAATCCAGCAGCCAAGTCTTCCGCTTTCTGGTGTTTTCAACTTCAGTCTTAGGACTCAAGATTTGCACCTTACGAGTCTTCCTTTCAGAGTGGTCAACAACTCCAACACCACCATTCATCCCATGACCATTATTAGCCTGACCATCTCCAAGAACAAGGGGCTGAGGGATTTCACTAGGGTTCTGATGATTTTCTGGCTCCAAAGGTTCTTCCTCTAAATACTTTGTCTCAACAAGGACATCTTCAGCACCAAAAGTCACATCTTGCTCTTGCATTTCGGTATCCACCATCTTATGCTTCAATTCTGTTCTGGAGTAGTCAGTCACAGCAAGACACCGTCATACAAAAGGAAGACAAATCCAGGAAAAAAAAACGAAAAAGATAAACACTTTAAATGACTATTGGTGATTTCAAATATTACAAAAAGGAATTGTATTTCTTCTCCGCCTATAAACTATAGCTTCTCTCTCTCTCTCTCTCTCTCTCTCTCTCTCCCTCTCTCTCTCTCCCTCTCTCTCTCACTAAACACAATCAAGAATTGGAGAAAGCTCACTCACTCACTCTATTACTTCAAAACCTCAGACTAATCAAAACTACGACAGATAAACAAGCCGAGAAAACCGAAAAGCTTGAGAGCAGCAAAAAAAAAACATATGCTTACGAGTTCTGCAGCGACGGCGACGGCGACGGCGAGGAAAGCACGGGATAAGAACGCAGGACCTCCGGCGGCGCGCTAGGGTTAAGCGGCCGGAGAGATTGAAAGAAACTGGAAGAAGAAGAAGAAGAGAGCTGAAAAAGGAGAGACAAATTCGAAAGAGGAGAGAAATCTTTTGTCAATGGAGGAAGGTATTAGTAAAAATGATGGATGGATGTGGTTTTTAACTTGGCCAACTTTGTTTTACTCTCAAAAAGTAAACAATTTTTTTCCTTCTTTTTGTATTTATTAGTATTTTAGATTTTGTTAATTTTTGGTAAATTTGGGTTTTGTTCCTTCTATTGTTGTTGAATATTGATTGGGACAACTATATGCAATAACAATCAAAGATAAACATTGAAAAAAAGTTTAACAGTTCAAATCTAATACCAACTATTGTTATTTGTGTATGAAAATTTAGGTCTAGGTTAAAGTTTATAAAATAATTTTACATTTCAAACGAGGTTCAAGATGATAGTTAAAGTATATAATGTTGGGAATAAAATTTAGGTTTCATGATTTGGAGTTAAGATGTGGGAAACAACATCTTAATGAAGATATAACCAATATTCTTACAGGGTAAATATATACAAAGAAATTCAAGATCACAAATATATTAAAACGTATATAAAATTTCAAAACATTGATCTTTTAAATATAAGATAAACTATATTAAGACAATGTAATCATGTAAACATTTTCAAAAACACGTAAAATGCATTATATGTATGAATATTTCCAAAACCTTAAGGTTTAAATGTAAGATAAACTATATTGAGATATTGTAAACACGTAAATGTTGCCAAAAACACGTAAAATATATCAAAGCTTGTCACTTAAATGTATATAATAGCTTATCAAAAATTTCTAAATCATTCATTTTCAAATATAAGATAAAAATTATTTTAGATATTGTAAACTCGTAAATGTTTTCAAAACACGTAAAAAATAGATAAAAATTTCTGAAAATTTTCTAAACTTGTAAACATTTTCAAAAAATTCATAAATTAATGAAAACTTACAAATTTTTGATAATATCACGTGATAAACATTTTTTTTTTGTTAACCACACATTAATTACACGTGATAAACATTATTAACCGATTTTTTTTTTGACATTTAGATATTATTATATGTTTAGTATCTAATATTAATTTTTTCTCAGTAGTCAGTACTTTTGCAATACATGCGTTAGGTTAATATATTTAGAAAAAGTACTTTTGCAATACATGCGTTAGGTTAATATATTTAGAAAAAAAATAAAACTTTTTTTAATTTAAACTTCTTTGGTATTTTTATTATTCCTCTTTGAAACTAATAAATTTCAAAGCTGTGGTGGTAAATTGTTTGACTGATAAATTCAAAGCTGTGGTGGTAATTGTGAACTTACCAAGTATAGTTCACATACTAAGGAAAATATTTATTATAAAATATTTTCTTCTATATTTAAGAGATTTTCAATTAAAATGGGATATATATAAGGAAATATCTTACTAAAAAAAATTGCGAAATTATATTTGGGAAAAAAAAATTAAAAAATAATAAAAAGCTGCAATCTCACTTTGGTCTTTAGGCCCAAAAATATAACCAAAATCGTCATGCCAAATATGGGCTTAATATGGATCCAAATCAGGTCGGCTGATTTCTGTTATTAACATAAATAATTAAGAAAAACCGCCATCTCAGATTTATAGCAAACCTTTTCCACAATTTCCAGAAGTTTAGGGTTCCGACGTTCTTGTTCACTCTAGATTCTTCGCTTAGCTTCGTCTTCTCCATCGAAGATTTATCTCTGTAAGCTTCAAAACCTTGTTTGTTTTCTGTTCGATTAATCTGAGATTATCTCCTCACACATTGATTCTGAATCAGGCAATTCGCGGTGGATCGCCGCGGCGGGCGAATTTTCATTGATTTTTCATTGAATCTGCGTGTTTATCTAGCTGAATTTTAGGAATGGAGGTAGAGAAATCCAAATATAGGAGCGAAGATTTGGACGTTGTGGAGGAGGAGAGTCGGCGAGATCGTGATCGGAGTAAGGAGCGGAAGAAGGATAGGGGTTCGGAGAAGCGTCGAGAGAAGGATAGGCGGAAGAGGCGGTCTGAGAGAGTTAAGAGTAGTGATTCTGAAGATGATTACGATAGAGATGATGATGAAGAGAGGGAGAAACGTAAAGAGAAGGAGAGGGAGCGGAGACGGAGGGATAAGGAGAGAGTGAAGAGACGTTCTGAGAGAAGGAAGAGTAGTGATTCTGAGGATGACGATGAAGAAGAGGATGAGAGGGATAAACGTAGAGTGAAGGAGAAGGAGAGAGGGCATCGAGAACATGAGAGAGATAGAGGGAAAGACCGGAAAAGGGATAGAGATAGAGGGAGGGATGAGAGGAAGGAGAAAGAAAGAGAAAGGGAGAAGGATAGAGAGAGGAGAGAACGGGAACGGGAAGAGCGGGAGAAGGAGAGAGTTAAAGAAAGAGAGAGGCGGGAACGTGAAGATGGAGAGAGGGATAGGAGAGAACGTGAGAAAGAAAGGGGTAGTAGGAGGAACCGGGAAAGGGAAAGGTCACGAGAGGTTGGCAATGAAGAGAGTGATGATGATGTCAAGCGTGACTGAAAC